AAAAGGAAAATTTAGATAAAATCTTACACATCTATGAGAGTCTGGCATAGGGATGATGGGTGACAGGGAAACGCTATGTGTGGGCCACCTCACTCTATAAAAATTTCAGGAGAAATTGAAAGTAATGTTTCTTTTTCTTTCAACAAATTTCCTTTGAACAAATTCAGTTATACATAAAGTAGGTTCATTCCCATTATAAATAAAGTAAGCAAACAAACACTAAGCACAATCTAGAAATTTGAAGACACTACTAAGAAGTTCATAACAATTTTAGAAAGTTTTATAAGGATTATCCCTATCATTATTTGAGTAGTTTCTCTCTGTATTAGTAAGCACGTGTGTGCTGGAAAGAGAAAGAGTAAATATTAGAGCAGAAAGTGAAATGAAAATGAGTTTGAAAGCAGAGACTGTGGAGTGTCAGTGTGTGAGGTCCTGCAGAAATTACCATATTTCTTTGCCACAGCATTGATGGAGAGGTTAAAGGATTGACCGTGTGGATGATAAGCAGAACTCTTTTTATCTTTCTTTCTTTTTTGAGACAGAGTCTCGTTCTGTCACCCACGCTGGAATGTGCCCAGGCTGGCGTGCAGTGGCGCACGGCTCACTGCATCCTGGGTTCCACCAACTCTCCCACTTCAGCCTCTCAAGCAGCTGAGATTACAGGTACATGCCACCATGCCCAGCTAAGTTTTGTATTTTTAGAAAAGATGGGGCTTCACCACGTTGTTCAGGCTGGACTCAAACTCCTGGGCTCAAGTGATCCACACGCCTCAACCCCTCAAAGTGCTGGGATTGGAGTGAGCCTCCACGCCTGGCAAGAACTCTTAATTTTTTAAGTTTGGGACTTCTTCCCCTTTTCTGTAGCTTTCTGTGTCACTGCCTACCACCTGCAGCACGGGGTCCTCCAGAAGAAACAATAAAGGAGAATGAAGGCCTTCAGGAACAAAGGCCTGTCCAGGGCTTGTAAACTTCACGACAGTCCCAGAAGGTAGTAATGGAATATTCAACCTTCCCGCAGGGCCCAGCCTCTCTGATAGGAATGAAGAACACTGACGAGGTAGCAACAACAGAAGGAAAGCAACAGCCATGCAGGAGAACAGGGAACATCAAGACGGCCAGTCTGGCGGCTCTATGCCTACCTTTGATTTGCTTACCTTTTCCTGAAGCCTGATATTATCCCACACGTTGGTGCACACCATACACTCAAATGCATCGATGTAATTGTCCTGGTTGATGTCTTGCACTCCCCATTTCCGTTTCCTGAGAGCTGTCAGAAGTCGCTGGTTAGAGATCTCACCCTTCAGCTTCCATTCTACATAGGCCTCATACAATCTGTCATCAGAATCCAGTTGTCTGATGTAACTTGCCAGTTCCCTGGGGTGAGAAAATTCTGATACAAGAATAGCGCTTTTGTTACTCGGAAGCCAGTCTCTGATGCTGGGGGATCCGTAATATACAGGGACTACCCCCAGTTTCAGTGGCCTCCAGAACTTCTCAGTGATGTAGTCATCACAAACCGCATTCTCAAAAGCCAGGATAAACTTATACTGTGCAATGATCCTATAAAAGCCATCGGCATCCATAGAGGCTGGATTTTTCAGCTGCTGAGGGAGATCTTTGTTTCGTAAACATTCACCATAGGAATCGACCTCGATGTAAGTCATCAGCTCGTGAACATAGCTGTCCCTGTCTGACGGTGGGTCACAGTCTGACTGTACATACACCAGCGGAGCAAGGCTTTTTCTAAGCTTGTTTTTGGACTGCAGAGGAACCAGGTATCGGAGTGACTTCAGGACTTCAATGCCCTCTAAGTACTGGGTAGTCAGCGGCAAGTGGGAATGCCTGCTGAACGTGGCAGTGTAGTTAAACAAGGTGATGACAGGTTTATGAAAAAGTTTGTAATTGTTTTTCGGAGACTCTTCATGAAAAAGAGCCCAGTCATGATGGGCTTTCCGAGGCAGAGGTAAGCTATCTATGTTAAAGTCAGTACCTAGGAGAAGAAAATGAGATATTCATTAGTATTTCCAAAAGATTACTGGTGCCTACGTTAGGGTCTACCTGGTAAGATTAGGATAAAGAGGAGTCTGAGGCTATGAAGAAGAAGCATGTGGCCAGGTGCAGTGCCTCATGCCTACAATCCCAGAACTTTGGGAGGACAACCAAGGCAGATGAATCACTTGAGGTCAGGAGTTCAAGACTAGCCTGGCCAACATGGTGAAACCCTGTCTCTACTAAAAATACAAAAATTAACTAGGCGTGGTGGTGTATGCCTGTAATCCCAGCTACTTGGGAGGCTGAGGCATGAGAATCACTTGAACCCGGAAGGCAAAGATTGAATCATTGCACTCCAGCCTAGGCGACAGAGCAAGAATCTCTCTCTCAATCTCTGTGTATGCATGTATGTGTGCGTATATATATATATGCACATATACATATATATACACACATATATATACATATATGCACATATACATATATATACGCAAACATACATATATACATATACATATATATATGCACACACATACATATATATATGCACGCACACATACATATATATACACATATAAACATACACACACACACACACACACACACACATATATATATATGGAGACCCCAATCAGGGAGAACTTATTTCAATAACTGAGAAAGAAGAACTAAGACAATAACACAACAGGTAATATACAATTTCTTAAGTATTCCTGACATGGATGATGTTGCAGACACTTGAGTTTATATATAGAGAGAGAGCATGTTACAGTGTCACTGCAAAGCGCCTGGCAGTCAGTCACAAGGCTTTCACCCCAGAAACTACTCAGGGAGAGGATCACCAAAGAGGGAGACTATCATTTCTCATATTATGAAAAAGGAAATGGGAGTCATGTCTGGCCAGGTTCTAAAGAAGAATTCATTCCACTGCCTCCTGCAAAGGGCTTTTTTTCTCTACAAGAAGACAGGAGAAATAAAGAGATAAAGATAGTCCTTTAAAACGAAAAGAGCAAGAGAAAGGAAACCAAAAAAGGAAAGCAACCAGGTTGGCAGGTTGATTAATTGCAAAAAAAAAAAAAAAGTGAAATCATGCAAAAGTAGCCAGAAGAAATATACAGGATAGATTTTTTAAATCCAAAATGATCGATTTCAGCAAAGTACAGTTAATCAATCTTAGTCAAAACGGTAGACAAGAGGCTTTTAAAGACGAAAGAACTGATAATAGCACTATGTTACAGACCACTGCAGGATGGACAGGAATCAACAAGCACATCAAGAAATAAAGAAGGCCTAACAGGATTACAATTATGAGTGATCCTGGCTTCCACAGGATTAATTGAAAAACCTCCGAAACATGATGATGTGCAGACAGAAGTGATGGATGTGGTAAGTGATTGTTTCCTGACTGTGTGGGTGGAGATCCAATCAGGGAGAACTTATTTCAATAACTGAGAAAGAAGAACTAAGACAATAGAACAATAGGTAATATACAATTTCTGAAATATTCCTGACATGGATGATTTTGTAGACTCTTGAGTTTTTAAAAAATAAATATAAGGAAATAGGAAAAAAATCCATCTTCCAATACCCACCAGAAAAGAAAATACCAAATATATACTTACGCCAAAACAAGACTTTATCAACATTTTCTGGCAGCGCTCATAAAAATTAATTATTTAATGCTAGTGTGCACTCCCACAAATAAACTCTTTGGTGCCAACAGTACATCAATGAGAAATCAATTAATCAAGAAAGGCTTTTAAACAAAGATCAGATAAGATTATGTCAGAGGACATATGCTAAGCACAGAGAAACTGCTGAAGAAATTGCCTCTGTTTTGATAATAGACTTTGATTCTCAATCATTGGCAATGAATTACTAACATGTAAAAATGGGCTTATCCTTGTTTATTGGCATTTGCTATATTTGACCTTAGACTTCAAAAAGAATACTCATCCATACACCTGAAATCTAATGGCATATAGAGTTGGATGGCTGGCAGAGGTTAATAATCATTAAGATAAACATGAGGATATGAAAGAGAATGTAAGAAGAAAGGAAACTGACTGCATTGAAGTACAATAGTTGCTACTCAAAAAGGGTCGAAGCTGGTCCAGTGGCCAATGATAGAAACCAGAACCTATAAAATTGAGTAGAAACACAAAGTTGCCACCGATGGCATAACAGACAATCAAGGCCATTTACCTGGGAGAGAAAGTACTAGAGTCCAATCCACAGGAATCAGAAGCATGGATCCACAGTATGAGATAAAAGAGGATTATGATTAAAACAAAAGTGAGTCCAGAATTAACTGGACGAATCAGGCACAGGGGTTTTGAGTGAGTGACTCAAACACTAGTCACTGTCTGCTGCTGCCTGTTAGGTGGCACATGGAAGATTCTTATCCTGGCTCAGCAGGTGTGCACTTCAGCGAAGAGCTCGGATGCAGAACTGGGAAGCAGAAAGACACAAAGCCTGCCTCGGGGGCTTCAGAGAATGGACAGGGCTCAAGTCCCATCTCTGCTGGTCTACATCAGGAAAGAGGAGGAGGAGCTAAAGGCTAGATTCTGTGGCCACTATGTAGGTCCATTAAGGCTGTGCTAGTAATAGGAACAGGACCTATCCAAACCTGCACTAGGTATAATGAGGCCGTCACTCATGACAACTAGGAGACGTAGGCTTTCAGGCTCACTCACAGCTGTGCTGCCATGAGAATCCCCATGTGGGAAGGAAGGGGAAAGGAGGCTGAGATCCCTTACGCATACAATCTATAGTGGCCAAAAATGCCTGCGGAATCTATTCATATGCATGCATGAAGAAGCAACATGCCATTTTAAAAATGAAAATGAGACAGTCTCCTGTATTCATCTGAATGATGTTTAGTTTGCAGGGAGCAGCTCCCTTTAACAGTGGGAGATGCTTCTTAAAAGAGAGGAAAGTTAAAGCGACCTAGCGTTCCAAAAATATTTTCCATGTTTGCTATCTATAAAAGCATTTCCTGGTAATTTCCCTGAGATACATCCACACAAAACACAACCACACATGCATGTACAGGTGCGCAATCACGCCAACATAGGTTTTCTGTTAGATTGTTAGATTCTTTCAAACTAAGCTTCTCTGGAGAAGATTAAAATATGTCATTTGGGCCAGGCACAATGGCTCACACCTATAATCCCAGCATTATAATCCCAGCACTTTGGGAGTCCAAAGCAGGTGGATTACTTGAGGTCAGGGGTTCGAGACCAGCCTGGCCAACATGGTGAAACCCTGTCTCACTAAAAATACAAAAATTAGCCACATATGGTGGTACGTGGCTGTAATCCCAGCTACTCAGGAGGCTGAGGCAGAAGAATCGCATGAACCTGGGAGGCAGAGGTTGCAGTGAGCCAAGGTCACACTACTGAATTCCAACCTGAGTGACAGAGCAAGACTCTGTCTCAAAAATCAAACAAACGAAAACACCAAAAATATGTCATTCTCTCCCAAGCCTATAGCTTCGGATGGTAAATGCTGAAGAATACTGAAATTAGAACCATGACCAATCTGGCCAGGCATGATGGCTCCCAGCACTTTGGGGGGCCGAGGCGGGTGGATCACCTGAGGTCAGGAGTTTGAGACCTGCCTGATCAACAGGGTGAAACCTGTTTCTACTAAAAATATGAAAATTAGCTGGGCATGGCGGTACACACCTGTAATCCCAGCTACTCAGGAGGCTGAGGCAAGAGAATCCCTTGAACTTGGGAGGCAGAGGTTTCAGTGAGCTGAGATTACACCACTGCACTCCAGCCTGGGCGACAGAGTGAGACTCTGCCTCAAAAACAAAACAGAAAAAGAACCATGGCCAACGTAAACTACTTCAGTGGGGATATGATGGCCTAGAACATAAATGTCAACATTGAGCGATTTCTAAAAGGTATTGGATGTGGCTCAGAAACAAACTGAGTTATTTACCTCTCCCCGACTCCAGCGCAATGCCTACTGTAACAGGAGTTGGAACTGGAGTCTATGGAGAAATGGAAATCAATTCATGTATGGTAAATCCATAAAAATGTGACTAACTTATGTGCAACTGGCTCACTAGTTTTCTAGTCATGTTCACTGCTCTTACATTTAACAACTTCAGATTCAAACTTTCATTCCTCTGGGTTATTTTGTGTTTACTGAATTCTGACAAAGGTATTCGTTCATTTAAACAACAGCTAAATAGATCCTTAGTGCTAATGTGCACTGTGAAGGGAATAGCAACTTGGAATACAAATGGAATAAAATGAATGCTGGCACAGGGTGCCAGATTGCCGACGATGGAGACTCAATCTGAAATAGCAGAGAAGCCTGAGAGCAACATACTTTCTGGGATGTGTTTATGCGCCCCTCTCCTTCTGCAGGGGCATGTCCTCTTCTATCATTACTCCTACACAAACTGGTGAAAACAGAAGGCAACATATATTATTAACCTCACTTTACTAACGAAGCATGAATCACTCATCTAGAGCTGAAAACCCCAGGTGGGGACAAGAACGTCAGAGCAGCAAATAAGAAAAGACCGGAGGGATGATTGGCCCTGCTGCAATGTTGATTCCCTGGAACGAGTAACTGACTCTTGATACTTGCAAGTACCCCCACAGAAATGTTAGCTAGCTTTAGCACGCTAATGATGCGGAAAGCCCAGCCTGCCTTAATTTGGAAAATAGAAGTGTTCCTGCAGAACGCTCTCCAAAGGTAACAGTGTGCCTGCCGAATGCTCTCCAAAGGTAATCTGTTTTTAAAAATAATCTCTGCCATAAAACTGTGTGTCCTTTTGTGAGGCTGAGGCAGGAGGATTGCTTGAACCTAGGAGTTCAAGGCCAACCTGGGCAACATAGTGAGACCCTGTCCACAAAAAAAATTTTTTTAAACTAGCTTGTTGTGATGGTGCATGCCTGGAGTCCCAAATCCTCAGGAGGGTGAGGCAGGAGGATCATTCGATCCACTGCACTCCAGCCTGGGTGACAGGGCGTG